ATAACGGGATCCTGGGAAGACCTTGAGGGGAAAGGGGGAACCACGAACGGGTGAAGCAATTGGGGGCGGGGGAAGCAATGTGATTCACACCTCCGGCAACGCGGCCCCGGACAAAAGCCGTTCAGGGCCCCTGGGTCGGTTTCAGTGCTGAAGGGGGGCCCCGCATTTGTTCAGCAAGTCTCCGACCCCCTCGGGGGGGGGCCTCCAGCCGCAATTAGAGGACCCACCGGATGCTCTCCACGGTGTGTGCCGGATGTAATCGCCGTACATCTTCATCGCTGGCTGAGGCGGCCAGGTCGCTGAACAGCTGCGCCAGGTTGCGGCCCATGTAGGTGTCCGGGCCGTACCAAACGGTCGCGTCGGGGACCTGAGGAGCAGCAGCGGCCCCCGGGGGGAAGGGGGGACGGGCGCGTGAGACGAACCACTGACGATTGAAGCAAGTACCAAACAAGAGATAAACTGAGGAAGGGGGAGAACCCTGTGTTGCACATGTGGCCACAGGACAGCGGCGCTAGATCACCTCCCGGCGCCCTAGGTACCTGACTGACTGCTGGAGGGGGCGGGTGGGGGGGAGCATACGCGGGATGGAGGGGCCGGGTGGGAGAACACTGAGCATGGAACAGGTTAGGGTTCGCGCTCCTTCTTCGCCTTCTTTGCCTTTTCTAGTACGACCCCGTCCCTACGGTCGAGTTGTGGTATAGTAGTACAGTGCAACTACAGCCCCACCGTACGGACAAGTCGAGGCGCCTCCTGACGGGCAGCCTCGAGCACGTTTAGGCAACGACATGAATCTCCCGCTCCACCCCTTCATGCGCCCCATCCCATCCCGCCTCACACGGGCTATCACACACCACCAGGCTATCCGTGTTCTCTTGGGGAGGGGGGCCCGATCGCACTGGCTGCGGCCTGTATGCCCTGCACCTCACCTCACCTGCGCGAAGGCGGTCAGGACGGTCTGCACCACGTTTGACGATGTGCAGGTGATGGTGGGTACAAGTGCATGACCAAGTGCCTTGGTGCGCAGGGAGGTGTTGATGTACACGACGTGGACGCTGCTCGACAGAGGTCCAGGAGGTGGTGAGATGGGGGGTTGGGGGAAACATACGTTAGAAGCAACGAGAAGGGGGGAGATCGTGTGTGTTTGTGTGTGTGCGTGTGTGAGGAAAGGTTGAGACGTACGCGCCTCATAACGTGCGGGGAAAGCGGGGGTGGGCGGGAGGAAAGGGGGAGAAAGGGAACCTGGGGAGGAAGGTCCACCTCTCACTTGACAGCGCTTGAGAGCGGGGGGGGGAG